ACTAGGGCTCGATCCAGCTTTGATGGAATCTCACAAGGGCTGAGTCCAGCTCTAACAGATTGACACCGAAGGCTAATCGGCCTGGATCTGGATCTGATAGAACTCTGTTCAGGTTCGATCCAGCTCTAATCGAATCCTACAACGGCCGGAATTCTACGAAATCTCATTCCAACACGAACGCGCACCTTTCATAGTCCGATGCAAAAAACCTACCAGGGATCGATCCATCTCTAATCGCATGCTACTAGGGCTGGGTCCAGCTCTAAAAAATCCGATTAGGGCTCGACCCAGCTTGAAGAGAATTTTACCAAGGCTCGATCCAGCTTTCACCGCATCCCACTAGGGCTCGATCGTCGTCGTAGTCGGTGTCGCCTTAGGTGACCTTGTCGTCCTCGTCGTCGTCTTGGTCGTCGTATTTGTCGTCGTGGTCGCCGTCGTCGTCGTCGTCGTCATCATCGGCGTCGTCGACGTCATTGTTGTCGTCGTCGGCGGCGTCGGCGTCGGCGTCGGCGTCGTCGTTGTCGTCCGGCGTCCGTCGTCGTCGTCGTCGTCGTCGTCGTCGTCGTCGTCGTCGCTGCCATCGTCGTCATCGTTGTCATCGTCGTCGTTCGCGCCGTTTGCTGCCGGCGGCGACGTCGTCGTTGTCTGGGGGGTGGGGTGTTCTGGACCCCTCGAATCTTTTTCCTTGGGGGGGGGCCTCTGGACCTCCCACGAATAATTTCGCAGATCGCAGCCCCCCAGGGGTGGCGAGGTCAAATTTAGATCTGCGTGGGACACCACTCCGCCGGAGCCCCCCAGCAGCACCCAAAAGTAACGATAGTTCCGCAGATCACAGCCATCCAGGGATGGCGAAGTCAAATTTAGGCTTGCGTGGGACACCACTCTCCCAGAGCGCCCAGCAGCCTTTGAAAGTAGCCGTAGTTGCGCAGATCGCAGCCCCCCAGGGATGGCGAGTCAAATTTAGGTCCGCGTGGGACACCACTCCGCTGGACCCCCCAGCAGCCATCGAAATTAACAACAATTTCGCAGATCGCAGGCCCCCAGATTTAGGCCCGCATGGGACACCACTCCGCTGGGACCCCCAGCAGCTCTCGAAAGCGGCGACAGTTTCGCAGATCGCATTCCCTAAGGATGGCGAGGTCAAAATTAGGTCTGCGTGGAACCTATCTCCGGTGTACTCCCATCAGCCCTCGAAAGTAACGGCAGTTTTGCAGATCGCAGCACCCCAGGAATGGCGCAGTCCAATGTGGGCCCGCGTGAGACAGGGTGGTAGCTTCGAAGCCCCCTCTTTAGCCAATGCCCCCCCCAGCTACAACTGCCGACAAAATGGGGGGAGTGGGGGTAGCTTCGGACCGCCCCCCCCCCTGGAAAGGGGAGCCCGGGCTTACCCCAGGCCCCGAAGAGGGGGGGAGGGGGGGGAGCTTCCAAGCCCCCCCCGACGCCCCAGCTACAAAATGTAAAAACATTGCGGGAGAGGGAGGGGGAGCTTCGGAAGCCCCCCCCCCCGCCCCTGGAAAGGGGAGCCGGGACTTACCCCGGGCCCCGAAAACAGGGGGGAGGGGGGGGGGGGGGAGATTCTAAGACCCCCCACCCTTTCAGCTGGGACCCCCCCAGCTACAACATGAGGAGGGGAGGAGGAGGAGGAGGAGAAGGAGGAGGAGGAGGAGGAGGAGGAGGATGAGGAGCACCAGTGCAAACCCAAGACTCATCAACAATGTTGGAATAAACCCTCCCTCCAAGCTCCCTCTTCATAGGTTCTAGAACGGCTCATTTTCATTAAAGAAACTGCCTCATTGGAAGACAACCGTTTGAAAACCCTGGAGCAAACCAAAACATTGTTCTCGGAATTCCAACGCCACGGATCAACCTACTGTTGCGTCTTAACGATCCTGAATCGTGCCAGAACGCCGTTCTTTGGTCTTCAACACCGCGAATCAACGTAAGTGTTGCACCCGCAAAATCTTGAACCCTTCCAAAAAGCAGTTTCTGGCACGTTGATCATAGGATTCCGTGATCTCTTGCAAATGTTTACAATGAATGTGTACGGCGCTCAAGTGAGAACCACATTTTGAAAAAGAACCACCGTCAATCCATCAAACTCTTGCAAATGTTTAAACCGAATGTGCACGGCGCTGAGGCGAGAGCCACATTTTGAAAAGGAACCGCCCTCAATCCGCGAAGCTCTTGCACATTTTACAACGCGTGCGCGCGGCGCTAAGGGGAGAACTACAGTTTGAAAACGGGTTGCCCTCAATCCGCGAAGCTCTTGCACATTGTTACAACGAATATACCCATTTTGAAAACCGGTCGCCTTCAATCCGCGAAGCTCTTGCAATTTGTTTAAACGAATGTGCACGGTGCTAAGGCGAGAGCCACAATTTGAAAACCACCCGCCCTCCATCTGTGAAGCTGAAGCTGTTGTGAACGTTTAAGCTTCAGGGTCATAAGTAATGAGGAAGTCTGAAGCGAAACGCCCGGCCGCTCTACAAACTGGCCTCGGGGTGCGACAGGTGGGAGTTATTTATAAGGCAAAGGAATCGAGGAGAAGGAGGAGGAGGAGGAGGAGGAGGAGGAGGAGGAGGAGAGGAAGAGGGGGGGGGAGCTTCGGACCCCCCCCTCCTTTCTCCGAGGGAAGGGGGGGTAGCTTGAAGCTGGGCTCCCCCAGTCAGAAGGGGTCCTAGCGGATATTCTCCAGTCAGCGCTTGCACTAAAGGGGTCCTAGCGGATATTAAAATTTGGCGAAAGTTTCCCGCCGATTTTGGTAGCCGGCTGGATTCCTGGGTTCCCGGTTCCGGGATCCCGGGTTCCTGGTTAATGGTTCCGGGAAATGTCTGTGGAACCTGGGTTCCTGGGTTCCCAGGTTCCGGGTCGGTCTCCTTACTATCGATCTCTTGATTGGGGTTTTGTCTGGAGTAATTGAAAGATTTGGCGAACATTTCCCGCCGATTCTGGCTGTGTTCCCGAGTTCCCGGTTCCAGGGTTCCTGGTTATAGGTTCCAGGCCGATTTCAAACCTTACTGACTGTTTTTTTCTCTCGTGGAACCGGGGAACCCGGGAACCCAGAACCGGGAACCCGGAAACCCGGAAACCAGGAGCCTGGGAACCCGGAACCGGGAAGCCAGGAACCCAGCCGGCTACCAAAATTGACGGGAAACTTTCGCCAAATCTTTCAATATCCGCTAGGACCCCTTCAGTGCAAGCACTGATTGGGGAATAATTTTTCAAAGGCCCGAGGGCTTCTGAGGAGTTCCGCATGCAAGCAGCCTGTCTGCAAGCGATCAGCGGGTTCCAGCGAGCTTGCGCATTCGTGTTGGGAAGGCATGGGTTGTCCAACTGCTCCTTCGGAGTTGTGAGACAATGCTGTGAGGTAAAACGACCACAAGCACAAGGGAACCCAGTGATGATGTTCAGAACAATTGGACAAACTGTAGTTGTTCGTGGGTTTCCACTGTAGTTGCACGATGTTGATCTAATCTCTGTGTGGGGGGCATGCCAACAGGGGTGCTGCTAAGCATGTCGTCCGACCTCAAGCTGTGGCAACGCCTTCGGTGACACCCCCTTGGTTTCTCATGGCCTGGGCACTCACGTGCCCCTCGTACTCCTGTGTAAATACGAGAGATCAGAGAAGACGTAAGTAAGCAGAGAGAGAGAACGGGAGAGAGAGAGAGAGAGAGAGCAAGAGAGAGAAAGAGAGGAAGAGAGAGAGAGAGAGCGAGAGAGACAGAGGCAGAAAGAGAGAGGCAGAGATAGCCAGGAGAGAGAGAGAGAGAGAGAGAATGTAGGAGATTTAACGTCGTAGCTGTATTGTCCCGCTGCCGCCTCTCTGTGTGCGTCCCCCTTCCCCCCCGCTCCCAAAACGACCCTCCAGCCATGCCCCGGGTGCGCCCACGATTTCTCCTCCTTCCCCCCCACCCCCCAGAACGCACTCTCGCCAATTGCACAGGATCCGCGCTCCCATGGCCACGATCACGATCTCTTGCGACTCACTCGGGGTCCGCTCTCTCAGGTGCGCGATCCGTTTTAGATTACGCTGCATTTGCACTCCCCAAGCCCTCCCGAGGCCATGCTCCCTTGAAAATTCCGCTGAATCCATGCTCTCACGATTGCGCTCCCAGGGCCACGATCTCTGGGGAATTGTACTGGAAATGTGCTCCCAAGGCCACGATTCCTCGTAAATTGGGATGGCTCCACACTCATCGGGCGCGAATCAGGATTGCAACGCTGTCCAGAGAGACACGTGGCTTTGTGGCTTCTAAGTTACCTGAGCCCACAAAGAGGGATAAACATCACTCCAAGAGGGCCGTGAAGTGATTCCAGGAGGCTCCGGCGGGCTCCAAAAGAGCAGCACGAAGACCCAGACATTGTCCTGATAGGGTTAGGTCGGGCGTGTCCTCCTATATGTGGATCTTCGACAAAAACAACGATGTTTACAAACAATCGGAACTAGTCGAAACATCGTCCCCTGATTAATGTTTAACTTTGACGTGCCCAACGTAATGATAGGGCCCAAAATGGACCCCTGGAGCCCCCTGGGGGTAATAAGAGAGCGGACCTGAGAGAGGGGATGGCGGCCCGCAATAAGAACACAACACGAGCAGGGGGAGGATGGCGACGACGAGGGCAGTGAGCTCGCGCCAGTGTCGGCGGTGAGCGATGGGGGGAAGTGAGAAGGGGCGGGCCTTCTCAGAAGATCGGACGTCCCCCTGGGCCTCCTGAGGAGTTCCCTGATTCCCCGAAGACACAGAAGACCCGTCAGAAGGCGCGAGGGCTTCTGAGAAGTCCCGCCGCCTTCTGAGAAGCCCTTCTCCTTCTCATTTCCCCCCCTCGCTCGCCGCCGACATTGGCCCAAGGCCTTCAAGTAATACTAAACACCTCGATGAACCCATACTGTGAACCGATGTGCATTCAAGACTTCCGCCTGTCTAGTGTGTCCCCCACTCTTTGACCACACGGCTGCCTTCAAAATGCAGCAGGGCGGCGGAAACTCGCCAAAGGCATCTTCAATAGAAGTAGTTGACGTCGCAGTCTTCAGTCAGCTTGCACGACGATCCATCGTGGCTGAAGTAGGTCCGGTCGCCAGCCATAGAGCAAAGTATGGCGCACTGGTCAACACTCACTGGGTCGTCTACCCAGTACCCACCCTTACACATGCCGCCCTCGTACAACTTTCCATAGACGACTGGTGGAGTGGGCGCTGGGGTGGGTGAGGACGTGGGCGGCGGCGCAGGGGTGGGAGCAGACGTCGGCGACGGGGTCGCATCAATCATGTAGACGTTGTAATCATTCATGTAATCATTGATGTCGCAATCATCATTCAGCTTGCAGCTCCCGGCAGAGTCAGAGAAGCTGAAGTAGACGCAGGTGTCATCAGCTGAGCACATGATGGCACACTCATCGATACTGCCCACGGAAGCCCACGTCCCCTGCTTGCACATCCCGCCCTCGTGAATCATCGCATAAACCGGAAGTGGCGTGGGCAACGTGCAGCTCGATATCGCCCACGGAAGCCCACGTCCCCTGCTTGCACATCCCGCCCTCGTGAATCATCGCATAAACCGGAAGTGGCGTGGGCATTGGGGTGGGCTCGTACGTGCAGGTGTGGGCGCAGCTGTCGGCGACGGGGTCGCATCAATCATGTAGACGTTGTAATCATTCATGTGGTCGTTGATGTCGCAGTCGTCATTCAGCTTGCAGCTCCCGTCCGAGTCAGAGAAGCTGAAGTAGACGCAGGTGTCATCAGCTGAGCACATGATGGCACACTCATCGATATGCCCACGGAAGCCCACGTCCCCTGCTTGCACATCCCGCCCTCGTGAATCATCGCATAAACCGGAAGTGGCGTGGGCATTGGGGTGGGCTCGTACGTGGGCGGCGGCGCAGGTGTGGGCGCAGCTGTCGGCGACGGGGTCGCATCAATCATGTAGACGTTGTAATCATTCATGTGGTCGTTGATGTCGCAGTCGTCATTCAGCTTGCAGCTCCCGTCCGAGTCAGAGAAGCTGAAGTAGACGCAGGTGTCATCAGCTGAGCACATGATGGCACACTCATCGATACTGCCCACGGAAGCCCACGTCCCCTGCTTGCACATCCCGCCCTCGTGAATCATCGCATAAACCGGAAGTGGCGTGGGCATTGGGGTGGGCTCGTACGTGGGCGGCGGCGCAGGTGTGGGCGCAGCTGTCGGCGACGGGGTCGCATCAATCATGTAGACGTTATAACCAGTCATGAATGTGTTGATGTCGCAATCATCATTCAGCTTGCACGTCCCAGCAGAGTCAGAGAAGCTGAAGTAGACGCAGGTGTCATCAGCTGAGCACATGATGGCACACTCATCGATACTGCCCACGGAAGCCCACGTCCCCTGCTTGCACATACCGCCCTCGTACACCATCGCATACACCGGAAGTGGCGTGGGCATTGGGGTGGGCTCGTACGTGGGCGGCGGCGCAGGTGTGGGCGCAGCTGTCGGCGACGGGGTCGCATCAATCATGTAGACGTTGTAATCATTCATGTGGTCGTTGATGTCGCAGTCGTCATTCAGCTTGCATTTCCCGTCCGAGTCAGAGTAGCTGAAGTAGACGCATGTGTCATCAGCTTCGCACATGAGGCACAATGATCCTTGTGGTCCACATCAACCCACGTCCCTTGCTTGCACAAACCGCCCTCGTGAATCATCGCATAAACCGGAAGTGGCGTGGGCATTGGGGTGGGCTCGTACGTGGGCGGCGGCGCAGGTGTGGGAGCAGCTGTCGGCGACGGGGTCGCACCAATCATGTAGACGTTGTAATCATTCATGTGGTCGTTGATGTCGCAGTCGTCATTCAGCTTGCATTTCCCGTCCGAGTCAGAGTAGCTAAAATATACGCATGTGTCATGAGCTTCGCACATGAGAGCACAATGATCCTTGTGGTCCACATCAACCCACGTCCCTTGCTTGCACAAACCGCCCTCGTGAATCATCGCATAAACCGGAAGTGGCGTGGGCATTGGGGTGGGCTCGTACGTGGGCGGCGGCGCAGGTGTGGGAGCAGCTGTCGGCGACGGGGTCGCACCAATCATGTAGACGTTGTAATCATTCATATGGTCGTTGATGTCGCAGTCGTCATTCAGCTTGCATTTCCCGTCCGAGTCAGAGTAGCTAAAATAGACGCAGGTGTCATGAGCTTCGCACATGAGAGCACAGTGATCCTTGTGGTCCACGTCAACCCACGTCCCTTGCTTACACATCCCACCCTCGTGAATCATCGCATATACCGGAAGTACCGTGGGCATTGGGGTAGGTTCGTACGTGGGCGGCGGCGTAGGTGTCGGGGACTCTGGGGTAGAATCGTCGTCCTCATCAGGCCAATTTTGCAGTGCGTAGTCTGGCGTGCCGCCGACCATGTTATAATTATAGATCGTGCTCCATTTATCCGTGTCCTCATCCCGCACCTTGAATACTGACTCGATCGCGAAGTTGGGCGAGAGATCGAGCTCGGGCTCCCAGATCTCCCAAGTCACGTTGGTGCTCGCTATGAAAGTCTCTGTCTGTATGTAGGTGATTTCCCAAGCCTGAGCAGGGGGATAGGGGGAGGAAGGGTGGATGAGGGAGGAGAGAGAAGGTCCCCAGAGGCGTCCTGAGGCTCTCAGAAGTCATCAAAAGCCCCTCGAGATATCTGAAGTTCCCTTGAGGTCCTCTGGCGCCTCCAGATGCCCCAATCAAGGGGGGAGGACCAGACCGAGCCTGGCTGCTGTTGGAGTCGCCCTCGAGCTCGGAGATGCTGAGGTTGGCGTGCGCGTACAGCCCGAGCACCTCGCCAGTGTCGGTGTGGTCCTTCTCCTCTCGGGGTGCGCGCGCCATGTGCTGCCGGGACAGGCGACTCGTCGCACCCAGAGGGGGAAGGGCGAGAGAGAGAGAGGGACACGGGAAACTGGCAGGTCCACTGCCCTTAGATCGGTGCACAAAAACAATATATCGATGACGCGCCGCCACGGGGAACCCATCCATGTGCCCCTGCGGAAAGAAAAACACACACAAGAGGCCTTCGGACGAAAGAGCGAAGGGGTATAACACGCTTGACGGGCTACCAGCGGGGAGCGTGTTCTTGCTGCTGCTCTTTTTTTTTTCTCTCTCTCTCTCTCTCCCCTTTTTTGAGTGTTGGGGTGGGGAGGGAGGTGGGCGGTCAGGACGAGGAAGGGGGTGCGAGAGTAGAAGAAGAGAAAACACATACACGTAGTCTTTGGACGGTCCGCGCGGATTTCTTGGATCTGCGCTGGGCCCCCCTGTCTGACGCGCTCCGCGCGCCAGGGGGCCCCAGCCCAGATCATAGAAATCCGCGCGGAGCGTCGAAAGTTTATGTTTGTGCTTTCTCTTCCTCGAGAGAGGGAAGCCAGACCCCCGACGTCGTGATTTTTCACAACGTCGACCCCCGAGGTCTGGACCCCTTCCCCGCGACCGGTTTTGCACCCTGAGTCGTTTTTGTTGGACGGTCCGGGGCCCGGGGGAGGGTCCCCAGAGGCCAAGACTGGCGAAAGACTTCCCGTCGTGTTTTGGTTCCCGACTCGAGGGGGTCTGGAGGAGGGGCGTGCGAGCAGGAAGCAGTGAAGGGCGGGGGAGATCCGAGGAGAAGCGGAGGAGGGCTCTCTCTGCACCCGGGCGGGCGCCAGGCCCAGCCGCCCGCTCCCCCCCCCCGCGCGCGCAGAGGCCAGCACCCGCCTCGGCCCGCTCGGCTGCCCCCGCTGCCCCAATCGAGCCTCGGGCCGCCCGTGCGGGCACCCGCCGCGCGCTGGCCCTCGCCTCCTCGGCCTCGGGTGTAGGCTTTAGGTCGGGCAGGTCCTCCCATACAGTCGGGGGCGGCCAAGAGGGGGGGGTCCAAGAGGGGGGGGTGCAAATCATGACCGGCGGCATGTGCGCGGCCCAGGGGGGGGGGGGGGGCAGGGACGTAGTGAACTAAGAAGAGGCGCCCTGAAATCTGAGGAAATATCACGGCCCACGCCATGATATCCCCCCCCCCCTAGTCATCACCCCCCTCTTTGCCGCCCCCGATACAGGCGGTGTTTGGAAGAAGACCCACAACTAGCCAACAAGTATTCAACACTAGTCCAAAAGAGCCGAAACGTCGTCCCCAGACTGCTTTGGAATATTCTTGCATATTCCTCCTGTAGAGGGACACGCCCGAACTGAATGTAGGCTCAAGACGCAGGGCAGACAGGATGGCATAGGCACTCGGCACAGGGCACGGACGCTGACGCGGAAGAGGGAGCTGCCCGCCTGATCTGGCTGCCCCGGCAGCGGGGACAACGTAGCTCGATCTATCCGCCCCCTCTGGAAGGCGACAGTAATGTCGTGACGCATGATAGCTGTGGGGATTCGGGTATCGGTGGTGAGTCTGATACGCATGATGATGGGAACGAGGATGACAATGATGACGGCAACGACGACAATGATGATGATGCTGCTGCTGATGATAGGGATGATTGTGGTGGGGATGCTGGTGATATGACGATAGTGGTGAGGATGCTGGTGATGATGGGGATCTGACGATAGTGGTGAGGATGCTGGTGATCGCGAGGATGACAATGGACATGATGAGGGTGGGAAGGATGGAATTGGAGGTGGAGGCGTTGCCGGAGGAATATGGCGAGGACAGGGAGGAAGAGAAGCCGCAGCCGGAGAATCTTCGTCAGGCTCTCCATTGGGTTGCCCATACAGTTCTTTACATAGTAAGGTTCTCTACAGGGTTCCCCGTAAGGTTTGCCCGCGGGTTCTGCATGAACTTCTCCACAGGGTTCACGGACTCTCCCAGAGGGTGCCCATAGGACTCTCCACAGGATCCCCGCGAAGCGTTTCCTTTGGGCTCTCCATCGGGTGCTGCCTGGGATTCTCCACAGGGTTCTCCATCCATCATCGTGCCGTCGGCACGTTGAGGCAAGTTAGACTTGATGTATGCTGACCAGTGGGGTTCTCTAAGGCCCCATCCCCATCGTCGCAACCCGCCTCGTTCCGCACCTCCCCCCACCCGGGTTTTGCTCTCCAGAACTCCATCTTGTTCGGCCTCCAAACGACTGTTAGAGAGAACAAGTCCGCTCAGAAACGGCTACGAGACGCCCCCGATCATAAAAGATACGGCCCAACGAGCCCTCGCAGGCTGCAACATTCCCCCCAAAGGCCCCCATGAGCCTCCAATTCGCACTCAAAAAGGCCTCCAGCGACGCAAGGAGAAGCGGAAGTCATTGAAAAACCGTGGGGAAGTTTTCCTGGCGATGGGCCCAACCATACGTGGCTGCGAATTTCGCGAGGCAAGAGGTGTGCCGGAAGGGGCGGGGGGACACCATGCGATCCCTGCTATTGTGGCCTTCGGTGGAGCTCCCTACGGGGCCATCAAGCGTGTGAGAGGTGTGCCGAAATTGGCGGGGCGGCGCCATGCGAACCCCGGCACTGGGGAATCAGTGGACCTTCCTACGGGGCCACGAACCGTATGAGAGGTGTGGCAAGAATGACCTAGATGACGATGCTGACGATGAAGATATGGTGATGATACTTGAGATGGTGATGTCCATGATGATGCTGGATTGTGGCCGATGGTGATGGCGATGACAAGGACAGCGGTGGTTATGAAGCTTATGTTAGTAACGATGATGATGATGATGATGATGATGATGATGATGATGATGATGATGATGATGATGATGATGATGATGATGACTGCGATGTTGGTGATGCTGGTGCTGATGGTGATGATGATGCTACTGGTTGATGATGGTGACGACAATGCTAATGATGATAATGTTGGTGATGATGCTGCCGATGCTGATGCTGATCCTGATGCTGATGACGACGACGATGAGGATGATGACGATGATAACATGATGATGATGATGATGAGATGATGATGATGATGATGATGATGATGATGATGATGATGATGATGATGATGATGATGATGATGATGATGATGATGATGATGATGATGATGATGATGATGATGATGATGGAGAGAGCGTGATCCACCGCCGCTTTACTGTGGAAAATTGCCAACCTTTTCCTCCGGAACCCGGGGGTCGCCCCCCCCCCCCTCCGAAAATCCCCCCCCCCTGCTGGAACCCCTCCCCCCCCCCCCCCCTTCCCCCGGCAAAACCCCCCCCCCTCCCCTAACCCTCCCCCCCCCCCCTCCCCCTCGAAAACCGGGGGGGGTCACTACCGGTTCGAACCCCCCCCCCCCCCCCCTCCGGATCCGGAAAACCGGGGGGGGTCACTACCGGTTCGAACCCCTCCCCCCCCCCCCTCGAAAACCGGAGGGGGATCACTACCGGTTCGAACCCCTCCCCACCCCCCCACTCACCGCCAGCAAACGACTCCCGGTCCCTACCACCGTCCGCATCACATCCTCCACTGTTGTTCCCAGCACCACTGTCCTCACCACCACTGTCCCCACTGTGTCCCCACCAGTGCCCCCACCACTGTCGCACTGTCCCCACTGTCCCCACCACTGTTCCCACCACGGTTCCACTCTCCCCACTGTCTCCACGGCCCCAACCACTGCCCGACTATCCCCACTGTCCCCACTGTCCCACTGACTCCTCCGCTGTCCCACTGAGCTGTCCCACTGTTCCCACCACTGTCCCCACTGTCCCCACCACTGTCCCCACTGTACCTCTGTCCCATTGTCCCACCGCCGTCCTCGCCACCGCCTTCACCACTGTCCCCACCACCATTGTACCCTCCACTGTCCCACTGTTTCCACCTCATTCCCACTGTGCCCACACCACTGTCCCCACCACCACCGTCCCCACCACTGTCCACTGTCCCCCCTGTTCCCACCATTGTCCCCACCACTGTCCCCACCACTACCGGCCCTCTACTGTCCCACTGTCCCACTGTCCCCACCACTGTCCCGCTGTCCCCTCACCACTGTCCCACCAACACCGTCCCCACCTCTGTCCGCACCCCCACTCGGTTTTCGAGGGGGGGGGGGTTCGAACCGGTAGTGACCCCCCCCCCTTTTCATGATGACCTTGGGGGGGGGGGAGGGGTTCGAACCGGTAGTGACCCCCCCGGTTTTCCGGAGGGGGGGGGGGGAGGGGTTCGAACCGGTAGTGACCCCCCCCGGTTTTCCTCCAGCAGCGGTAGAACACGCTCTTTCTGATGATGCGGATGATGATGATGATGATGATGATGATGATGATGATGATGATTATGATGATGATGATGATGATGATGATGATGATGATGATGATGATGATGTGGACGACTCCGTGGCCAGATGGTTCTATTTGTGCAAGAGGGCGCCAGGCGAGGACACGAACTCTGATGCCGCAGGGGCCAGCACCAGGCCAAACAACATTCTTGAGTAGGGAGAAAAGGGGGGGAGGGAAAGACTTGAAAATGGAAGCGCGGCCCGAAAGAGAGCCACAAATAGCCGCGGGCAGCATAATGTGGACGACTCCGTGGCCAGATGGTTCTATTTGTGCAAGAGGGCGCCAGGCGAGGACACGAACTCTGATGCCGCAGGGGCCAGCACCAGGTACTATGGCTAGTCCAAGACACTGGCTGAAAGCCGCAAACCTTAGAAGAATACTCACACACATCTTTTTAGTCGGGAGACGTATCGTAGGCTATCGACATTGTTGGCCATCATTTCACATGCGAATCGTAGGATACAGGCAGGAGGGTGGCGCGCAGCGCTGCGCAACTGACGGTCTAACGATGGGATGCCTAAATCGCCGAGATGTCGTTTTCGAGTGCGACGGCATGGCGAGGCAACAGGTGAACAGGTCAGGGATAGTTGATCAGTACATTTCACGCTCCAGCCTACAAGTCGAAATCTGTTTTTGACACGG